AAATTTATCTCCTGTTGTTATTGTGTCTCCCTTCTTTTTACTGTTCACATGCTAAATGCACAGCCTTCAGGGATACTGTCCAGCTAATCTCTCCTCACTAAGGGAGAACCCTTTTATCCCTTGCATTGGGTCAACATCTGTATCTTATAAGCACATCTTAGCTCTCTTTAGCTTACTTTCTCTTTAGGGGAAATCAGTACAAATTTATCATCTAGTAGCTAATAATAAATGTAATGCTTTATAACTGCAGCTTGGCTTTCTCCCAGTGGCAGCTCGACCATCAGTAAAGTCATTCCACCTGGCCTCCTTTCTCTTTTTTCCCCTATTGATAAAGAGGAATTGATTTGCTGGTTCTAATTAGACATATTCCTGCCTTGAAGCTCCATTCACCTTCTCTTCCCATGAGCGTCTGCCTCTTCGCAAAGCATCCTTTCCATCTGTTGCTTACTGCTGTCAAAATAAACTATCTTTTGTCACAAAGGTTTCACAATTTCTTGATTCAAGACTTCACCAAGTTTGAGGTAAACTTCAGTGAGGGTACGGATCCTATCAACTTTGCGGTGCTTTCTCAAATCATACTTGACTTCTCAAATCAGTCAATTCTTCATCTGTTTATTGATAGAACGGAAAACCAAATTATTAAACTCTCGTGGGTTTAAGTTAGTTTCTCAATCCCTGGTCATGCAATACTTTTCATGCCCACATAACAGTTCAGTTTCTTTTGCCCTTCCAGAATCTTTCCCATAATTCAAGTCAGTTCTGGAGGGTGACCACATATTTCAACAAACGGATGTCAGGAATGAACTCATACGAGTTCTGTATTGACAGAGCCCTGTGATGGCAATGTCCCTTGTGCCCTGCCAGCCTCTTCTGGAAAGGATTTTCAGCAGTTAGCGGTGCCCACTGGCAGCCCTTTTTTGCAAAGCTGGATAATTGAATGATGAACTTACTGTTTGTTTCTCCTCAAGTTAAATATTTTTCCGTTAACAGAAAAACACTGACAAGGTCTTTAAATTGAAAGTGCTGACCTTAGGTTACCTATGACCAAATGACAGATAAATGAGCTGAATATATTCAACTACATTTAAAAAAAAAAAAAAAAAAAAAGTCCAGCATGTTTCCATTTAAGAAGAGACAATTATGCTACAGAAACCATATTTTAAAAGCCTGGTATTAATTTCTGATCCTAGATCATCATTGAACTATCATGTTTCTATCCCTTTGACCATCGTCTGTTATTTCATCTAAACTGAATCTGACCATTTTGGGAACTGCCTTCTGAATCCATGAATATTTTTCATTTCAGCTTTTATTGGTTTCTACAAACCCACAATCACCCAAGTATCGATAATGCTAACTTCAGAAAGGTACAGATAAGACAAATCCTGAAGGGCACCGCTTTACTGGTTTTTGCCTTCCCTCCATCTGTGAAATTAATTCTTGAACAATCCAGAAAGGGTTCTGATGAATTCTAAAATCTCATCATGCATTTACACTTCTAGTAGCTGTGCTCAGGAAATACTAATCCTACACATTTAATTCCACATTCATCTCACAATGTTTGCCGCCTCCTCAGAAAATATTTGGCCACTATGGTTTCTATTTTTTCTCCCACAATCTAGTTAAATTACAGATTCGCTGCCCTTTGTCCTCTTTGGTATGACTCGTTCCCATAATTACATACATATAATATATGTAAATATATATATATGTGTGTATTTATTTTTTGTAGAAGTCCAGGGTAAATAAGAAAAGCACTTTATCAGTCTTTTTCTTGTCTCTTACCCATGTTTGAATAGTGTTTAGGACTTCAAAGTCTGATTAAATGATACATGCTCAGCTGAACTATTGAAAAACGTGATAGAAAAATAGATGCATAGGAACATACTATACAATAAGATATAAATACAAAACATTCTGTAGAATTGCAAGGCTGAACTTGTGGTATGCAAGACAACAGAGAATTTAAAAATTTTTTTTCTTATTTGGTTTTCTTCCTCCTCTCTTAATACATGCTTCAGATGTCTCGTTCAAGAAAATATTTTGGAGGATGAGTGCATTTCAAAGGAAGTGATTGCCTTGAGCACAGACGTGCCAGGCCTGTCTGGACCCATACCTGGAGAGCGCCGGTCCCATCCTCTCCTGTGAACGTCGCTCAGAGGACGTGCGCAGCCTGAGCTTTCTGGATACATGGTGGCTGATTTGCATTCAGAGAGACAGTGAAAAACCTGGACTGTTTGAGTCACCATACCAATGTCTAGCAAAGCTACAGCTACAAAATTAAACAGGCGCAAGCTGTGTGTCAACCTGTCTTTCAGATCATAGCAGAATGGCAATAAATACACCTACAAAACCTTGTATTTTCTGCCCACCTGAATAATAACATTTCTTGTATTTATGCATGAAATATATTCAATTTCTCAGTACCTGCAGTGTGCATTTTTACAATGGCTTGCACTGAATTCTTCTAGGAAAAAAACTAATCTAGAAAGCAAGTATTAAATTCCTTTTGAACACAATTAATAATGAAGAAAAAAAATACCTAAATGTTACAGGAGGAAGTTGAGGTCCAAACCCTGGAAGGCCTTATCTTACTGAAAATCAACCTAATTGGATAAAAAAAAATTGCTGGCAAGGCTTTTTTTGGTATGCTTCTTCGAAAATTACAGATGAGATAAAAATTAAAAAACAGCTACAATGTAGTATGCTTAAACATTCCTTTTTCCAGCCGCCTATCAGTTTCTGGTATTTATAGTTGAAGTA